TGAAGAAAAAATATGTCGGTTCGGTCCGGTCGGTTCGGTCCGATCGGTTCGGTCTGATCGGTTCGGTCCGGTCCGGTTCCCCCTTGGAACCGGGAACTGGACCGCCCGGACACTGGTTCCACTTTTAGGAACCGGGAACCGGACCGGCACCCCTTAGAACCGCCCAAATAGTGTCGGTCCGGTCTGGTCCGGGCGGTTCCCGGTTCGAGCGGTTCCGTTTGCACACCCCTATCACTGACCACTCGCAGCCCTCACCGGACTTGGTAGAAAAAAAACGGAAAAGAAAGAAAGATAAAGAAAAAAAGAGGAAAGAAATAATTTCTTTTTTGAAAAATATATAAAGTTATTCACGTCAACGTCGACCATCTTACGTGGTGGTACAGATGTCTACGATAGCGATTTCCGGCTAAAATTGGTCGAATGGACTCAATTGACAAAATGTAAAAAGGTTTATGATTCAATTGGTAAAAATTGAAACGTTTATGACAAAATTGGCCAATATGCAATAGATTTATGACTTTTTGAATAATTTTCCATAGGTACTAAGTTGAATTTGAAAGTCATCACGGTGTGAATTGAAGATATATGAAGAATATAAATAGAGGTGATGTTATTCTCCCTTTAAAGATCACTATGTGAGAGCTAGACCTGTTAAACGGGTGGGTCGGGTCATAAATGGTCCGACCCAAATTGACCCATTAACCCGTTTATGACCCATTTATTCATAGTGTAAATATCTCGACCCATACCCGACCCGACCCATACCCAATCCATACCCGACCCGACCCATATTGCTAAAACACTTTTATATTTAACCTAATCTAGGAATACTTATTTCTTATGATTTTTTTTGTTTAAATTATACTGCTAAAACATTTTATGCAATACAAAGCTAGTGAAAATTTTTTATAATTTTTTTTAAAATTGAGGTTCTGTTTGTTTTACGAAAAATGCGACATTTCTGGAAAATATTTTCTATAAAGTCATTTATCTAAGAAAATAAAAAAAAATTAATATTTTTTTTTTATTTTTTAAATCGAATTTTTAATTTTTTAATTTTTTATTTTATTTTATTTCTTTTTTCTTTATTTTTGGCCGATCGTCGGCCAGGTGAGGACGAGCTCGCCGGAGGCCGGCGAAGCTCGTTCTCGCCGAGCCTCGAGCCTCGCGGCCTCAGCGAGGCTCCGGCCTCGCCGATCTAGCGAGACTCGAGCTCGCTCGAGGCCGGCGAGCTCGAGTCTCGCTAGATCGGTGAGGCTGGAGCCTCGCCGGGATCGGGCGAGCCTCGAGGTTGCCAGAATCGGGCGAGCTCGAGGCTCGCCGAGATCGCCGGCCTCCGGCGAGGTTGTCCCGCCCCGCTGGCCGTGGCCGACCACCGGCCGAAATAAAAAAAAAGAAAAAGAAAGAAGAGAAAAGAAAAAAGAAAAAATAAAAGAAAAAGAGAAAAAATAAAAATAATTAAATCTCGATTTTTTAAAAATATTTTTGTAAAGAGAGAGAGAGTGTGGATGGGTCTAATAGATGGGTTGGACATGGGTTCCAAACTCAACCTATTTAGATCAATTTATCTTTAAGCTTTAAAATTTAAAACCCATTTAAGATTGACTCTTTAAAATTAAAGTGACCCATTTTGACACCTCTAGTGAGAGCTTAGGACTCGCTCTATAAGATTCCTTCCACACTGCCCGGGAGGAACAGCTTTGCAGAAACGGTAAAGATGAGTACGGGGCAACTCAAAGATAATTTATTTTAGGTACCCAAGTTAGAATAATTTATTTTTTTAAAGTTTTCTCAAGTGAAATTATCAAATAATTTTTTAAAAATAGCTGCATGCTGTAGAGATTCGTGGTACTCTATGTTAAACGACTGAAAACTTACATGTCAAAAGACCCATATGCCAATTGTCCAATCACGATGAAGTAAACTATACCACCATCCTTTTCCACCCCACACAACATGGCCCTCAAAAAGCATGCGAAATATGACTTTGAAAATATGATTAACCTATTTAAAAAAAAATTTAACAATACTATATTGGACCGTTCTTATCAACTGCTTTTCAGAAGAATCCTACTTTGTCATATTTATTAAAGTTTAGTATCGTGAAAGGAGAAAGATTTCACGATACCATCTGTCAATTGTTGTAAAAACTTAAGCTGTTAAATGAAGACGTAGTTTAGTGTCTCCCTTCACGAGACTTAAGATGAAGCATGAAAATACATAGTAAGAGAGACGAATAGAAGGCACGGAAATATTCAAACTCAAGATGTGTGACCACTGCTAACTGTTTGAAAAATTTAAGCCATTCAATTAAGGCGTGGTTTAACCACTGTGGGTTTACCCCAGTGGCCACCCTTCTCACTTGAGAAGGGGGAGGTGGGGAGTTCGAATCCCCACCTATCGAGAGAGATAGAGTATGCCGACCAAAAAAATTAAGGCGTGATTTTATATAGAAAATATTTTAATAGAAGGGACACGAGAAAAAGCTATCCGACTCCCTCATCAAATTAGACAAGTGGGTAGTTGATAAAAGGCCAAACGAGCATGAGATGCAAACGTTTAGGCATGTTAGAACGGGGGTCGAATTTCTGAGGCGAAACTTCCCTCAGCTTTCCATCTTTTCCACTCTTGTGCTACGTCTCAATTGGCCAAAAGCTTTTTTGAACGGCTCGTCCTCACGCAATTGTGGATTCCTTGCACCGTCTTTAGCAAACACCAGGCACTGTTCAGCTGTTGACATGGTCCCTCTGTCGTTGTTACATTTTTTATGTTTTGCTGGGGGGTCGTATCTTTTGATCTCGAATCATGAGGGGGGAATTTTCCACGTGCTTCATCCCCGACCGTCCTAACATTTTGCCATGGGTGCATTATTGTGCGATTCATGAAAAGAAAACAAAGGGTAACATTTGAACCACGTCCCATTACAGGCCCAAAGAGGTTCTTAAAAGGGGTAATCAATACGCCTTGTCCTTGAACATGCTTGTACCTAAGAAAATGGTGCATTTTCAACACTTAAAATTCGTTAGTTGTTGAAAATCTATATGATTGATCTTAACCACGTGCTTCATCCCCGACTGTCCTAACATTGGCGATGGATGGGTGCATTATTGGACAATACTTGAAAAGAAAACAAAGGGTGAAGTTTGAACCACATCCCATTACAGGTCCCAAAAAGGTTCTTCAAAAGGGGTAATCGATTCCCCTTGTCCTTGAACATGCTTGTACCTAAGAAAGAGGTGCATTTTCAACACTTAAAAGTAGTTAGTTGTTGAAAATCTATATGATTAATCTTAACCGAGGGCAATTCTGGATCTTCGGTGTTGGTTAAGGTTTACCTCACCAAAATCGGGTGTTGTCATCTGTGCAGGTTACAACGCTTCGTTTAATCACCCGGCGGCTGGTCCATCTACATACCCCCATGTCCCTCTCCGTTTTTGTTTTTCTTTCAGGGAGAGGACTGGAATACGGAGAGAGCTTACAAGGAGATATTTCCATTATATCATGGAGTTCATTTCCTTGTCTTTCCTCGAGTCTTTTAAGGACTTGCTCAGGACTAAACATTGGCGATGGATGGGTTGCATTATTGCGCGATACTTGAAAAGAAAACAGAGGGTGAACCACGTCCCATTGTAGGCCCAAAAAAGGTTCTTCAAAAGGGGTGATCGATTCACCTTGTCCTTTAACATGTTGTACCTAAGGAAAAAGGTACATTTTCAACACTTAAGAGTAGTTGAAATCTATATGAATCAATCGATCATAATTGGAATACAAAGAAAATGCGAGGCCAATGTCGTGTTCTCCAAGTAGATTTCGCCTTACGAACTGAATTATGGTGCCATTTAATTCCCGTAAGTATTTAAATATATAAGAAAGAGAGAAAATTATTAAAAAAGTTATAAATCTATTGTAATTGTATCAATTCAGTTATATACATTTTTTTTTGCCAATTGAGTTTTAAACCTTTTGCATTTGTGTGACTTCAGTCCATTCGGGCTAAAAATCACATCGTTGGGAATGCGCAGCAAAAGTCCAATACCTTTACCTGGGGAGATCGCCAAGAGGGAGTTCAAGTCCGAGTCCGTCAACATATTCAGTTGGATCCACCTTCACTCAAAAGCTTAAGCCAATGAGTTGTGGGCCAACTAGGATATATTAACTGCTCAACACCATATTAATTATCCAATATGAGACTTCTCTAATACAACTCACACGTGTATCTCAACAATCTCCCCCTCACTATGAGCTCAGTATTAGGTTTGTTCCCCATTAATTTAGGTATTCTCTGCATCAGCTTATCTCAACTTGAATCTCCAAGTCATTGCAATGCACCCGTAACTATGCAAAACAACCATTATCAACTGCTAACTTGGGATTGCATCACCCACCATGGTCTCTATTTCGCGTCACCAGACCAACTGTCCATGGTCACTTCTCGCCAGACCAATCGTGATGGCAATTTTCACTCGAAACACGTGTCAATCAACCATTGGCTCTGATACCATTTGTTGGGAATGCGTAATAGAAGTCCGATACCCTCATTTGGGGAGATCGCTAAGAGGGAGCTCAAGTCTGAGCTCGTCAACATATCCAGTTGGACCCACCTTCACTCAAAAACTTAAGCCAACGAATTATGGGCCAATTAGGATATATTAACTATTCAATACCACATCAATTATCCGATGTAGGACTTCTCTAACACAACTCACACGTGTATCTCAACACACATAAATGGACATCGGCTGTCCTACGTGGCGTGGCCGGCATTGACGTATATAATTTTTAATATTTTTAAATTTTTTATTTATTTATTTTCTTTTCTTTCTCTTTTTTTTTTCTTCCCTTCTTTCTCTAATTGATCGCCAGCCCTCGGCAATGGCCGACGATTGGCTCAGAATCGGCGATTCCCATGGGGACTGGTCTAGTTTCCAATTCCAATTTATGGGATCGGTGGAACTGCCTATCCGGACCGATACATACATGCATACATACATACGTACAGTTGTATAGTTTTTGACCACCTCACTCTCTCTATCACAATTTTTCTCTCTCTGTAAAACTCTCTCCTTTTTTCTTTTCACACACACCAAAACTGTCAAAACACACGCGCACGCCCCCTCCGAATCCCCATAGTGGCTTCTTCCCTCTCTGTCTGTCTCTCTCCCTCTCTCTAGACGTGTGTGCATGTTCCTCATGACCATCGATTGAAACCCTAGTTCGCCGTCTAGTCCTCCGCAGCTTCACTCTTCTTGGTAAACCCCTCCCTCCCGCGTCGCTTCCCCTCGAGCTAGCCTTAATTGGGTCCACTTTTGTGTTTCCGATTCTGCTGCTTTTCTCCATTTTTGGGGATCTTGAATTCGAGCTTGTTTTCGATTTGTTTCCCTGGCTGACAGGGTAAGGAATCAACCCAAAAGCCTTGGCGTGGGATCTTCCAGTGTGGGATTCATGTCCTTCAATCGACCCAGGTATCAAAAGAGCGAGGCGGCACAAGATTGTAGAATCGGGAGATCCACCAACAGCGGACCTCCTTGAGCGGTTACAGTAAGGGCGGCGGTGCCCCCTTCCCTTCCCCTTCTCTCTCCTCCATGGACTAGCAAAATGACCAGTTCCATGGACCCACTCGAAAACTGGACTAGACCGGTGGTCTAGTTCCCAAGTGGATTTATGAAACACCATTGGGCAATTCCCGGTTCCCATTTTTTGGAACCGGTCTTTAACGGGCGATTCTAGATTTCAAGTTTCAGAGTGGGAACTGTCCACCCATGAACCGATCACTCTTACTAATGACTCTAATTTATTATGTCTTATGTAAAGTTACTAACCCAAATTGGAGTGACTTACCAACTTTTGTCGGATTAAGTTATCAACTAGTTTTGTGTTGCCGAATCTCATGTAAGTTACTTACTTAACATTCAATGGATGGAATCGATGTGCCAGGACATACTATCGTTGGGCTTGCATAATGATTTAACCCCATTGGAACGGGTCGGCCCAAGCTGCATTTTGTTCATTTATTTGAGAATCAAGATGGAAGGCCCTTTACCACCGCCCGCAGCGGCTGCGTTGGCTTGCGCTCTTGTCCCCCCACGAAGGGATCGGAGTTCGAACCCCAGCCTAGTCGTTAGGGATTCTTAAGTGTGGCGCCGTGGTGGTGGGTCCTGCGCTAGCATCACCCCAGGTTTACCCCTCCGGCTGTCGGCCGTGCGGGGGGTTCCTGGGTTATAAAAAAAAAAACAAAAAAAAAACAAAAAAAAAGATGGAAGGCCCTTCTTGGACCAGACAAGGCCCAATCAATTTTTCAGACGAATTTGCACGTATTGGTCTAGATGAGAATCAAGATGGAAGGCCTAGGAACTTTTCCTTTGTTCGGTATGTCCGGTTCCTGGTCCAATATCCTAGGGCCAGTCCAGTTTTGTTTTCTACTCAAAAGACTCGCCTCCTGGTTTATAGCCCTTCCCTCTGCCCTAGAATTTCAAAACCAATAGGAATGCAAAGATGGTTTGTCTTCATCTTCACATCAAATGACACAACCAGAGATTGCAGACCTAACCCAACTGGGATCACGAGGATAAGGTGTTTCTGTAACTGGAGTCACTCTTCTGAGGAAGAACAAGCAAGCTCTCTCACACACACATAGCCATACCGATGGAAGAGCACACGCTGGAGATGTTTGAAGTTGGGCCATGCGAGACTCCTCGTCAATTGGGCTTCTTGATTGGCCGGAGGTTCTCAGGTTTGATACAGAGCAGGTTGTCTAGAGACCTGATCCATCAAAACCAGCTCCTGCCATGGGCACGAGCTCCAGAATCACGGCCTCTCCTCGAAGCTCTCTGCGAAAATAACCGGAGCAAGTTCCCTCGCTACTGGGAGGAGCTCGTTGGGACGGCCGAAGGGGGTGGCGTGCCGGTTCTCGACGTAGTCCTCGTGCTCGTTTGCCACTAAAATGAAACAGAGGAAGAAAAAGAATTGTGTTATCCCGTTGGTTTTACTAATGGCTGCCGATATATCACATAGCTTGTCACTGTTCGTGTGCAGATAGTGTTGATAAACTTCAGGAAGGAAATCCTACCCTTCATCCCCGAGAAGGAATCAAAATCACACCCGCCCGAGAAAGCTATCGAGTGTTCCGACGTATTGGTCGTCGGCAAGTCGATGGCCGTCGCCGCGCACAACGAGGATGCCAATGTCGCTCTAGTTGGCCACACGTATGGTTTGAATTTTTCTCTCTGTCAAGGTTCATGAAGTTCAACTCGAATGTGTCGGCCGAGTTTATTTTCACATGTTTGTGTATCGATACGGAAGGGTGATGGGCGACGGTTGCTTCTGTTGTGTTATATGCAGCTACATAATCAAGGGTACTCTGTCGAGTGGATTGTGCTTCATTTCCTACACGTACGCAGGAGAGCTCCCGAGCTGCGCATTCGGATTCAACAACAACGGAATGGTAAGAAAGCTCAAGACATGCTGATTCAGTAATACCAGCGTGTACTTTGCACTCGATGCAGTAGATAAATACACATCATAATTCGATGTCGGAGAAGTTAGGGACAATAGTGCAATAGAACCTCTTGAGGAGAAAACAATTCAGCTTACCATGAAACAAATCTAGGGGTTTTGATTTAAAACAACCAAATCCTATCGAAATTCCTATTATCTCGAGTTCTTGGGTATTGACCTTTGCGAAATTCCAGATGAATTAACTTATACTCGAAATGAGATGTTCAGGGATTTACGCTGAATGCAGTACCTCCCTCTAAAGAAGAGATTGTAGCAGGTGGGATTGGAAGGAACTTCATCTCAAGAGATCTCCTAGAGGCAACGAGCATGACCGATGCGGCCGGTGTAAGACCTTAATGGCATTTGGAATCTCACATCTGCTGATATGGACAGTATTATTTGCTGATCTTCTACTTCTCTATCAAGAAAATCCGCTCTGCAGAAGCATCTGTAGGGCACAGTTACAATCTGATCGATCTGAAGGCACGAAGAATCCACAACATAGAGACCGCATCGAAGACCCGGCTTTCGGTTACTGAAGTGGATGAAGCACCGTTCTTCCATGCAAACATGTATCTGCATCTTCAAGTTAAGCAGGTATTTTATCCGCAATCCAACTAGCTAGAAGATAAGATCATGCCTGAAGCCTCTTGCACTACATTGCGGACATGAACAATTCAAGAGAATTGCAGGCCAAAAATGATTAAATCAATGGATAACCGAAAAAACACTCAATAGGCTGGAGCGTAGCGACGAAAATTCTGAATCACCAAGTAGTTTTTATTTCCATTTACAAACAGAATTTGCTAAATTGCTGTTTAGGTAGAAGATGAGAACTCGAGAAGCAGGCAAAAGAGAGCGGCTGTGTTACCAAAGAATTCTAAACAGGACTTCCTCTCACTCCTTGGAGATACAGATGATGCCAAATATCCCATCTATATGTCAGGTAAACCAGAAAAGTAATGGGATAATTCTTTCTTGTTCTTCTCCATTTTGTCCTCTGTTCTAATTGTGACTGTCTCAAGGTCCAACGCTGTACACGCTATGCACGGCTCTGGTCGATCTGGATGAGCAGACACTGAGCATCATGAAAGGGAATCCGAAGAAAGGAGCAGTTTCTCACATCTTCTCTCTGTCATCACCAGATCTCAAGGAGCTGTGCTAAAACCTCCATGCAGCCCATTTTGCTTTGATGAAGTGAGAAAGACTACAGCAGTTTCCAAGGCTCTCTCATCCAGGAGTCCAGGCTTCTGTACACCTATTGAGTGGCCCTCTTCTGTCATTTTTCACCAAAACTCGACTTCGGTCTTTTTTTCCCGCTAAGCGGCCACACACTACACTGAAGGTCCGGTGCGAGATGAAAAAGTTTTAACTCCTCATAGCAGGCCGATCACTAGATTCATGCCTCGTAACAATTAGGAGCAGCATGTTCTGTCAACAAGAGTAAGGTAAGTCCATGGCTTCATGGAATTATGGCATCCGAGAAACACCCACCACTTAATAATTACAATATGCAAGATTCTGTTGATGCCATCGGTACTTCATCCATCTATGAAAGTCGCGCGTAAAGCAGAGCTAAAGAGTGAACCACGGTTTAAGTAAATCTCTTTGCTACTTGATATCAAGTGTCATTAGGCTTTTGATTTCTCAGGCAAGAGGAATCTTTGTTTCCATCAAGCACTTGGTTATGAATCAAAAGAAATGGACAGATTCACAGGTCATGGAACTTGACCCCGCCAACACCGAAGAGGTTCCTAATAGACCTCTTATTTCCCTCATCAAACAGGAACAACCTGTGGCAACGATGATAGTACTAACAATAATAATAATAACAATGCTAAAACACTACTGTTTACCACAAGAACTTCGGTATGCCTTAACACAGAAATATACACCGAAACCGTCCAAAAAAGTAACTGATTTCTCTCGTAATCATCCGCAACATGGATGACTCCAACCAGAAGTGCACCATGAAAGGAACCTTAGCGGACCATATTGTGACCAATACAGACTCTGAATTTCTCCAGATTCCATTTGTTAAATACTCAATTCTGTATTGCTCTATATCAGTATTACAAGGGCGATTCATACTCTTGAACAAAAAGTAGAACGCATCATCAGAAAAAAAACAGAGAACCATAATCACAGTCGAGACTCGAGAGTATTGGGAATGATATACACAGGCTAGGAATCTGGGAAATTGAATGACAGCCGCAGCCTCCATTTGCCGGTGGTTCCTCCTCAGACAACTCAATGCTTTACACCTATGAGAAACCTCTGGAAGCTCTTAACCGTGAGCGCTGCCCCTTTGACCTTGCTTCCATAAGCTTTGCTTTCAAAGTATTCTCCTTTATGACAGGCGGCAATTTTGAAGATGACTCCGATACATCTGGATCGTTGGATGACTGTTTCACCATCCATGGTCGTACTGGACTCGCCTGAGTCCTCCATGCTGAGTTACTGCATGAAGCCTCCCCAAAGTCAACATCGGGATTTACAGAACCTCCACTTGACAACTTTAATTGACTCTTTATGAAGTCATCCAGCATGGAATTTGCAGTTAAACTGCGGACTTCAGATTTGTTCTTTCTTTCCTGACTAAACTCATCCATAGCTTCATGGTTGTCCAATTTGTGGGTAGTGGTAACCTCGACTGGGCTTCCATCACCCCTTTTATCCCTTGTGGTACCAGCTTTTTCAGACTTAGCCTGAACACTGGATGGATTCTGAGCTTTCCTCCTCCCACGAGGTGCACGTTTTTTCTTGGTTAGCTCTGTTTCGACTTTGTCATAAGTGGGATCTTGTAAGGCTTGATCCTCATATGCCTTAAACTCACCATGGGTTTGTCGATTAAGCTCAAAACAATTAGAATCGCTTCCATCAGAATCGTCCTCATCACCCAGATCTCGAGGTGCGCTTACAACCTCATTCAGAGGAACAGATTCAAGTGAATTTCGCCGTTCCCTTGGCAATGTGTTGTCGATGCTCTTAAGGATGTCTTTCCTTTTAGCTTGAAGGAATGTCTCAATTTCGAAGCTCAATTTGTCCACAATCGAGCTCTTTTCTGCAGGACCACTTTGGGCTTCTTCTAACTTCATCTGCATCCGCTCATCAAGCCATGATTCAGATATATGGAGAATCAAACGGTCACGTTCAGATCCTCCAGCCCAATCCTTGTCATACCTTTGTTTCAATGAATGAACCTCATGTTCATAGTCTCTTATACCAACAGCGAACTCATCACAGAGATCTTCCAATAGTTTTCTTGATTTTCCATCCTTTTCCAGCTCTTTCAAGGCATGAGAAAGAGAAGATTTTGCATCAGAAAGTTCTCGAGCTAACTTACGGTGTAGGCTCTCTGAACGCTTTCTTAACTTCCTCTCGTCTTCTAGCTCATCTCTTGCTGAATGAACAGCAGCATGAATTCGATCCTGTTCCTTACTCTTCCGAACTAGTTTATCTTCCGAAATTTGCTTCATCAAAGCATCTATCTCATGTCGATCAGCTTGTTGGTCCCGAAGCAACTCTTTAATCCGGACACGGGCATGATCAAGCTCCATCTTCAATGCTTTAATCAGTGATATATTGGATGCATGCTGCTCTTCCAAGCTCCAAATACGGTTTAATACTTTTAGAAGTTCTGTTGATGTTTTGAGGCTGTAATGTGGCTCATTAACTCTTCTTTTGAAGTCTAAAGAACTAGAAGGAGTGACTGCCGGGTTATATGGAGTTACCTGCAACAGCATGGTACTTTGAGTCGTTATGCTCACATTAACATTACGTACATAGTATCATTAACACTTGAAAAGCCTTATGGTGGCGAAAGAGCCATGGTAGCGAACTGAGAAGCTTTATACAAATAAGCTCATTGAAGGAATTGTAAATAAGGGTTAAGTAAATTTGTGCAATTTGAATAACAGAACCCAGAATTTTAATCAAGAATGGTCCGAACAACGGTGCCTTTGACAACGATGTTCGGTCTGTCCAAGAGGAGAAGAATATGAAATGTTTAAGTGGTGCAGTCAATGCTCCTGTCAGGGACAAAAGATATTCCGCACACTAATCAACACAAAAGGATAACCAGTTTATTTGTCATAAAGGAACAAATGTAAAAGGCCTGCAGTAATTTTGTCAACATCTTACAAACGATTCTGGGCCTTTTCTAACTCAACATGCTAAGACGAAAGAAAACAGGCAGAGGTTCTAGGAGTAGACAATACTCAACCCTAATGCATCGAAATACAATCCCAATTACTTGAGAGCCGGAACTAAACTGAAAAATAGAATTACCTCCATCGAACTACCATAACTTGCTGGGGAAACAGGCTGTATGGCACGATTATTTCTTTCAATTGATCGATGATGTTGCATGAGAGATGCCGCAACATGCCTCCTTAAACTGCTTGTACTCTCTGGCTGTTAGATGGCATCACCCAACTTAGTTAGTAAATTTGCAAGAATACCCCGTCAGCTAACGCTATGTCTCATACTGAAATAATGAACAGTAATAACAACAGAAAGCATCCATCATGAGAACTGCTGCACTGATCACATGATCAAGATAAACAAATGAAGGATCCAGCGATTCGGATTCATATGACCACAGCATTATTGCTTTTGGATGCGGGAGAAACTAGGGTAAAAGAAGCAGAGATATCTATACCCAACAGAGCTTCTGAAGTTCAGTTAGCTGAATTGGACCTTGGCTGAACTAATTCAAATGTACAGACCAAAAAGGAGGGCAACCTTGACAACAGTATACGAGGACATATCCGAGAAGAGACTGTTGTTTCCGTCAAATTTTCCTATTCGACACACAAAAGTGCATAAACTCTGCCGACTGGAGCAGCCAAGCACAGATGGGTCAAGCATCAATGGAACTCTGAAGCTGTTTGAGGCAATACTGATGCCATTGTAGGATCATAAAGAGATGCAGACCGAAATACCCTCATGAGTGTTTCTCTGGATACAGAGTCCAGAAACGCCCCAATCACACAGACCGCCCCAATCACACAGACCCTCAGTGGACACACCATACGAAGAGTAATACAAGACCGGTCATGACACAAACATCTGAAACAAAAACACACTAGACAACCCTCTAACAGATAAACCAGCAGGGACAAGAAACCCAGTCCCAACCGTCACAAAGCCAGATCACAAAAGCTAATCAAGAAACCAAACATGCACCTGATCAGGAGAACTCGGAGAAGGGTCAGCCAAAAAGTGAGAGAGCTCAAACCCCCCGCCGCCGCCGCCGCCGCCGCCATCCTTGTCCTTCCGGAGGCGGCGCAGCCCAAGGGGGATACTACCAAGATTGCCATTGTGGTGGTGCATTCTGGAAGAGGCCAGGTAGTGAGTGAACTCCCAGAGAGCAGCTGCGAGCTTCCTTGCAGAAATACGACGAGAAGGGGAAGCGGAAGGGGAAGAAGGGTTAGAGCCAGAGGAGGCAATGATAGCTCCACGCGCAAAGAACTCGAGTCTCACTGGAGTGCTGGGGCCACCACATCTTTTGCTTAGAATTACACCTCTCCTCAACTTTTGTCCCAAATTTTCCTCCTTTTCTGCTGCCTCTTCCCCACTTTTCCCTCCCCTTTTCATCTTTCTCTCTCCTCTGTCTCTCTCTCTCTCTCTCTCTCTCTCTCTCTACCCATCCATTTTCTTTTCTCGGGTTTCCTCTTCTCTTTTTTTTATAAAGAAAACCTTCTTTTCTCCCTGCCCCTCTTTTTCGGGGATCTGGGCTTGGAGCGGAGAGACTGATCACTGTGCGGGAGAAGTTTCCTGCGCTGCTGCTGCTGCTCTGTCTCTCTCTCTCTGTTTTTCCCTGTGTTGTCACAGTAGTTCTTCTTCACTCCGAGCCTGGTTCTGGAGAGAGAGTTTTTGACGTCTGCTTGACAGCTTTGGTTCGACAGCTTCCCAGACATCCGTTGTCTCTGTATGAATGATACCGATCAGAGAAAGAGGAAAGTGAAAGCCGGTTCGGTCGGATCAGATCGGCCCGCGCGACGGCCCCTGCGTATTGCTACCCGCCAAATTCAGGTAGCACCGGCTTAGCACTTCGTCATCGAGCCAAGTCGAACAAATAAAGTCCCGGGCTCAAGTTCGCTTCGACTCGACTCTTGTATCCGGCGCTCGAAATTGGATTCTAGTGCGATCATAAGTTAAATTCCCTAGCCAAGCTCGATTAGTATAGAAAATTAAGATACTCGAACTCGCCTCAACTCAATTTTCATAATCAAGTTACAAAATGAACGTAGATTCGAGTTCCAGCTCAAGTCGATTATACTCAAAATGTTCTCCCCTACAGTGTATGTGAGTATATTATGTAATTGTAAGGTTTTTTGAGTGTATTTCCATTACTATTCTACTAGTTTTGAATAGAAATAATGGAAGTTTGATCACGCATGCTAGCTTGTTGACCTAAACATTAGCGAGTTTGAGCTCAACTTACCAAAATTCTCGAGTAGTTCAAGTTTGAACTCAATTCCAAATCATGAGAGTCGACCTCGAGTCATCATAAATTGAATCCAAGC